CAAATTATTGATGAGACTAACACATGCCTCATTAAAAGCTTCAGTATTGGCTCCTCTTCACTCTCTCCTGGTCTCCTCACATGCCAGGAAGACCAGTTACCCTACTGAACAAGGCAGGTGTTAATCATGGAAGAGAACAACTGTCAAGTTTCAGATCAAACTCAATACAGACCATGGAATTCTCCAGTAGCATTTTTCTCTCTTTCTGCTGCTCAAAAAAATCACTAAATCGCTCTGTAAGCAAACTGCTAATCAAAATAATTGCAACTGCACAGTTTAGGTAAAACAGCAGTATGTAAAGAGAAATTTTATGCATCCACAGCTCAAATAAGGAAAAAAAGGGCACAGCTTATCTTCTAACTGGATGTCTGGGAAGTTCTCTGATTCTTCCTGGTCTCAGGCTGTGAACACTCAGGAAGAGGATTTGTTTTGTATGTCTTGTTGTGCTAATTATGTTACCGGGATACTAAATACCAAACAATGGCATACCACGTTTAACTATTAAAAGATGTTGCTCAGGAGATTAAAGACATATATCAAATTTTTTCAAACTTTGCATTTTAATAGTCTTATTCCTTAAAATACTCTTACAGCAGAATTACTAATTAATTTAACATGAGAAAAGGAGAAAATTCTTGCCCAGTCTGTGACACCAGCAATAGAAGAAATCAAATGGGTCAGATATAGAGTAGCAAGAGGGTTTAGTTTTGCATTCTGGCAAAAGAGTATGAAATAGACTATTATACACAACTTGTTACCAGCCATATGGCATTTTGTGTTTAGCAATTTTGGGTAGCACAAATAATGTTTGAGTTTTTTTAATTCTTAGGAAAGGAGCTGGGAAGAATATCTTATGTAGTTATATTGTTTTGACATCAAAAGGCTGTAATTTGCACAGCCTGGGATCATTTCTAGTATCTATTCAGCCCCTTTTACAAAACTATCTTCTGTACAGAGAAAATATCCATGAACCATTTCTAGCTGACAGATTCTGAAGTGAATCAAGAGCCCAATAATTGAAAAATGACAAGATTTTTCTTATGATTAAACATGTACGTTGTCAAATACAACAAACTGTAGTTTTAAAATAAAAAATAATTATAAATACTGTTATTTTTCATGAGAAGGTACTTGAAAAAGAATTACTCATGTTAAGTTAGATACAAGGTATATCCAGCATGAATATACCAAAATAATTTGTGAAACCGGGACAACATCATAAACTTCCCAAATGCAATTTTTACAAATAAATCAAATCACACTACTGCTGAGAGATGAGTGGTGAATTTGTCAAGCAACAAAGGATGAAAAAAAACCAACTGCCATGAATGATACTAGAATAATTTAATTTTGAAATATGGGGGAACAGAAGGAAACACAGGATTTGCAAGTCTTCAAAATATTTTTATAGCATCATCTTAGATGCTTTTGGGGGAAATTTTAGTGTTAAGTTCATATATACCAAGTCTCAAACTTTGTATTTTCTACCTCACATTCCCCTCTCACTGTGCTCGCCTCTTCTGTCAGCACTGGACAACAGGGAACCTTTCCTGTCCCAGGACCTCACCAAGAACACAGTGGCCAGCTGACCTACACTGAGATTTGCCAATCAGCTATGTCTGGTCCACAGTGCCCCCCAGCAGCTGCTGAGTGATGGGCTGCACCCAGAGACCACCAGCAGAAGACATTCTGACAGTCACATTTTCACCCTGCAGTCACACTTCACCACCGGCACAAACACGTTCTGTGTAGCTCCCTAGCAATCAAAAGCGCTTTACTCCATGTCCTAGCCCACGTCAGTGTCACCCAGAATGTGACCAGTGTGAGAAATGATTGGCACTGGACCAGAAAAAGAAGTTTTAAATTTTAAAAATGTTCAGACATTCACTGAAATCCTTGTGATTAGTAAGTGTTTTCACCAGGGAGAGATGTTCTGGAGATGTATACAGATACAAAATATGCAGGTCATACATGTAGGAAAGCTTTGAGGAATCTTTACTAATCCTCTGAAGAATCATTTGTAAAAATATTGATTATTCTATTCAACAAATACTCCTACAAACATGACAACACCTAAACAAAATGATAAAACAAGAAGTTGCAAACAAAAAAGGAGTTATGGAACAATAAAATAAGTTCATGTAAAACAGTGAAAAAGTGATTTGTCACTGGGAAAATGTGACATAGTTGTGTCAGAGCTGCCCACACAATCACCTTTTCCTAGAAGTCCAGGAGAAAAAGTGAAGTGCAGACAAAAAAACTCAATGTTCTTACTACCAAGAAGATCAACCAAGGGCAAATGCATCAGGAGTAGAGTATCTTACTTCAGGGCTACTATGGCCTTCTGATAACAGATGCTGTTTCATACAGCCAGCATAACCTTCCTTTTTTATCTCAGTTGCAAGAGACTGGTTCTTCAATATCAAAATACTTCTGCTTTTCTTGGGAACCAGTAATTCTTTGCTGTTACAATATCACATGGCAAAGTTCATGTATTACATAGAGTAGTTGGTCATAAGAAGCCAAAGAAGAAAGGAGGTTCCATCTGGATATATTTTTTTGAAGCAAAGAGAGTTTAAAATAAATAGCTGGCTACAGGACTTGCAAATACAAAAGCTCAGTTGATTCTTCTTCAGCTTGCCCAGCCCCAAAGGCAAGTAAAATTCATCTTTTTTGAGTGCAGAGGGAGAGACCATCTAGATCAGACAGTGCCTGAAGAAATATAAATGTCCACACTTTCCACATTATAATTGGAAAATAACATTCAGTACCTTTTAAAAAAAATTAAGCTTATAATGAACAACTGGTATTTTCTCAAGAGATTAATTGTTAGGTTCCTCAAGCACATCATTTAAAGTGTATTTGGACTTGCACATCAGCTTTGGTACAAAAGGGATCTCTCTTGCAAAACAAGAAGCTCAGTTGCCAAAAGAAGTGATGGATGAAAACATACCTGAGAAAGAGTTTGTAACAAAGCTTTACCTTGGGTAAGGATGAAATATTTTTACTATTTTGTCTACCACTAACACAACTGTTAAAATTTTGAGACATATTATTACATCATGATGGCTCTGCCAGAGGATTTACACCATATCTTGAACATCAATTTTTTCTTTGCTTAATTCTGTTTTGACACACATTTTCTAGCTATTTGCAAATTTAAAGTAATTGAGATGTTGCCTTGGAAGAACAACATTAAAGTGCTCCCAAAAGCAGATGTCAAGCATTTGGCAGTTTTAACTAACACAAAAGAAAACATACAGCTGCATACAAATGCACAGTGTACAGCTGCTGCATAAAGTTTTCTTCATTTTAACTCCCTGAACACTAACCAGAATCAGAAATAGATATTTGTAATTGTTTTAGTGGAGAAAATGCCAAATTACACGTGCTTGGTGGAATTGATACCCTTGCACTTAAGCACAATAGCAATAATGCTGCCTTTCTTGGTCCTACAACAAATCTAGGGTTTTGATTTCTAAGTGAACATCTGAAAAAAAAGTAAAACCAGGACTTTCTGCCTCATATCATTTTAACAAAAACTAATTTAGTCATTAAAACTTCTGTTACTAGACCCCTGAAGGTTCATTCCTAGTATAAAATTATTAGGTCATGAAGACAATTGTGTTATTCATAAACCCACATAAAAATCTGTAGACTATCAGTATGTTTCATCTCATTTTTATGACTCCTCTCCCTAGATAAATCAATCATGTTAAATCCAGCACAGGGATTTAAATTCAGCACAGGGAAAGTGGAGATTGCAAATGTAAGTCAAATATGAAGAAGAAAGCTGAGATAATGGAGGGTTTATACTGGGTTACTTCAAAACCCTGAGACATGGCTGGAAGTCTTAAGATAATATACAATGAACACTGATTCCAGACAAAATAATAAATGCATCTTTTATCAAACATGCAACTGTAAGTAAAAAAACTCAACTTCTACAACTACTTCTCCAACTGCACAGACTTTCTGTTACATCAAAAATATTCTAAGGATTGCAACAAAATAATCAGCCTTAAAATTAGCCTTTAAAAAGTGAGGCTGTAGTTGTACTGACTATCCAACTAAGTAAATTTACAGAATAGTTGTAGCAGCATATCAAATCTTCAACTTGAATTTGATCTTTCTGTTCATGAGCCCATTCAATAAGATACAAGTTTTGCTCAATTATAAAACTGTCGTATTTCACAGCCTCTGAATAAGAAGTATCTGAGTATCATGGTAAAGGTCATTAGGACAATTTTGAGGATCTTCTGGTACAAGGTGTCCTCCTGTCTGAACACACCTGTTTATTCAAATCACTGAATTGCTGAAAATGTGGACTGAGAGCACAAGGCAAAAGAAATTGAAAAACAAGTGAGCTGATGCTTCTTGAGAGCCAGAGGCCGTAATTCAAATGTTTGTTGGGAGTCACTGTTACCTCCACACACAGGAAAAGAGTAAAAATAATGCAGAGCCACACATCTCACACAAATCCACATATGATGCCTTTTGAAGCTTGTAATTTTCTCTACCAACTACAGTGTTAGCACTGTTGAAGAGAAATGACTGAGCTTGGAAAATTATGGACTAGAACTAGTTAGAAGTTTACAGTGGTATTTTTCAAAGAAAAATGTCCCTTCTTCAGAGGAAATACCAGGTTTTGAAGAAAATTTGTTGGTCCAAAACTCCCAAAATTCTCATTCCTACCATTTTTTTTCTGCAAGTACAGATCTCCCTTAGGTTTACAACCAAATTTGATGAAGACAACAGGAGATATTTTTTCTTATTGAGTTTTTAACTGTATATGGCAATTTAGAAAGCTGAGAAGACAGTCAATGTCTCATGCTCAGAGCAACCAGAGTAATAATCAGTGAAGAAATATCTGCAGAATGGTAGCTTACTGTATTAAAATAAAATTTAATTTAAAAAAAATGTATTAAAAAAGTCAGGCATAAATGCAGGCATGTCCCTAACATAAACCACAGGCTTACTTCAATATTTCACCATCCTACCTCATTATTGACTTCAGCAGGTTTTTTCTTTGTTTCTCCAATGTCTAAATAGCTGTAGAAAGAAAATGGGTTTGATTATTTACATAAGCATCTAACTTACACAATACAAATATTTTACACATTTTTTCATACATGAAGGTTTTAAAATTTGTTATGATTCAAAATAACAGAAAAAGTAAGTAATAATTAATATTAATTAACTCAATATAAATCTTCAGGCTAGCCCTCTGGGCTAATATAAAAGACAGGGGAGAACCAATCACCTATCTTCAAGTCACTGGTGATTAGAACAGACTGTCAATAACCCCCTTGTCAAAAAGCAGCTCATATACAGCTATGAGGTGGATCAATAACTCTCAGCACAGCATCACCTTACTGGAGTTTTCAAAGTCATCCTCTTGCCTCTGAGTTTCTCACAGTAAGTCTCTGATAGATTTAAATTTTCCTGCACACCTGAGGGACTCAGGTTTATCAGCTAAAGTTTAAAAGGATCTACATCGCTTCAGTTTTAATCGAATGTGGGCACATCTGAACACTCATTTCTCATGGCTGGATGAATCAACAGTAGCTTCATAATTATTTTATGGATAAAATACAAGCCTCAACTGGACAAGCAAACAGAATACATCTATTTGGACATTATGTTATCCTTGTAATGTTCCCTGATTTCACTTCCAGTGGGAAGGTGCTTTACCAGGCGTTTCAGACTAGAAGACCTTATCTGAGAAATCAGGTATACCTAAAGCCAAGCATTGGTGTAGGCTCACCAAAAGACCTCAGATCTCACAACACATCTGCAGCCCTTCAGCTGGGATCAGATTCATTTGCCAGAAGAAACTTTCCTACTTGGCCAAAGTTAAGAATTGGTGGGGCTTGAATGAAGGTGCAAAAGCAGTAAAGAGAGGGGAAAAAAAGAAAGAAAAGCATCATTCTTTCTTTGAAGGAATGGCAATCATTTATCAAGGTACCAGAGAATGGCCACAGGGATTTCAAGGCTTTGTTGTGAGAGGGCAGTAGGACACAGCAAAGTTGCCAGGCCATGCTTGAAAGTGCATGCCAATGCTTTGAAAAAGGTAAGTGTAGCAACATAGGATAATATTTTTCAAAGCCTCATGTTTAAAAAAAAAAAAATAATTACAACTGTTCCAAGCTCTCAGTTTAAAAAGGAATGAGTTCTCTTTAGACCAAAACCAAGAAGTCTTACGGCCTGCAAGATTGAACAGAAATAAGTGCCTGAGGCAAAATGGTTCCAACAGCCTGTAACAACACCTGCAGACTGTGGTTCTTGTTTCCCAAACACCTGTAAATTACTTCACCAAGAACTATGAAAAGTGAAAAAGAAAAGCAAATACATAGTCAAAGGCTTAAATTCACTGTGCAGTAGTCTGGGCATTCAATCATCAAATTTCAAGGACCTGCAAATCTGAAAAATTCTAAATAGGAGCAATAGGCTTATTTTTTTGGATGATGGCACCCAAAAAAATGTCATACCAAAAATTTTACAGCCCTATGCTCACTTACTAAGAAAGCAGAAATGCTTCCAAACCCATGGCTAGCCAAGCCAGTGATGAAACTACAGCATTGCTTACAAAGACACAGCTGGAGAGAGGACCATCTACCATTGATGAATGAGCACAGATACAAATGGGAAAAGGAAGGAGGATGGAGGAGTAGCAAGCTGAAAAAAAACCTATAAAATGGAAACCAGCTCCAGCATAGAGAGTCTTCTTTCAGGAAGCTGAGAGCTGGAGAAGAACTCCACAGGGGAGCAGCCTACATGTGCATTCTCACTCACCACTCTAACAATTACAATACACCAACACACCTTACTACATATATGCAAAAAAAAGGGTGTGTTAACTTAGCACACCTCTAAATGACAAAACAAGCTGGAAAACTTCTTATATGTTACAAAAGTTACCAACATTGACTAAAAGTTCCTCCATTAAAGAAAATGTCTACATTTTTTTTCCTAAAATCAGAATTTCTAAATGCCGATTGTCTTATTTTATTTAAAAAATTATTCAGCAGTTTATCTAGAATATACACCTATATATTGATACAGAACTATCAATCTCAAAATGTTAAGAGTCAGGGTTTGGCTCATGTGCTAAAGGTGAGCACAGCTTAGTCCTGAATTCACTGTGAACAGGAAAGAAAAAGATTCACTTCTCAATGAAAGGTATCTGAGAAGAGACAAATGCACTGCTTGAAGCTGAACAATGACACTTTCAAATTCTGCTACTCCTTGGATACTTCCTCCATTACACTCCCACATCAGTGCCACGTGCCTCCATTTCGAAGTTCAGCCCCACATAGTTATCATAGCAATTAGTACGTCCAATAAGAATCACTGGGGGAAAAAAATAAATAAAAAACTAGTGAATAAATAGATAAATAATAAAACTTCTTGCTGCCATCAGTCCAGATTCAGATCCTTTAAGGCAGATGCTTTGGTCTGTCACACTGTAACTGTTTACCTGTGACACATAAAACAAAAATACACACTTTTCTTTCATTCCTTCACTTCCTTCCAAAAGTCTGTCCCTTCCAATTAACCCTTCCTCTCTGACTTTTCTGCCTAAGATATCTCCCTAATTACCATTCTGTCTACAAACCAATTAAGAACAATTTCAACATTTAGCCCTTCAACTTGTCTTTAATGCTTATAAAAGCACTGCCAACATTTCCAGCACTATGTTAACAAATACTAGTAAGTGAACAACTCCAATTCTGAATTGAAATGGACCTCAAGTCATCCAATTTATCCAGTCTACAGCACAGAACTAGGACATATTATCAAGGGATATATAAAACAGCCTCTTTTTACCAAGTCCCTTAGGTTAGCTCTTCTCAAAGTATTATCTTTATTGGCTTTAAATAACGAGGTACCCTGTTGCATTTTTCAACCATAAAAGTCTGAAAAAGTATCACCAAAAAACTCTGACCTTAAAATGTGAACTGACAAAAAGAAATGCTTTTCCCTATGCAATGTAAATCCAGAGAGCCCAATCCTCTAAACAGTGCGTGCTAATGCCTAACATTTACTTAGTTGTAGCCTATCAAACACAAAACACATTTAGAGAGGTGTAACACGATGTGATGATAACTAACAATTTTAAGCTATCCACGGAACCACAGGATTTAATTTCAAAAGGAAATGGTACCTCTCTCTTAGAGTTGAGCACTGCATTTGACAAGGAAAAGAGTAAGTATTGTTGGAAAAGGGCTTATATTTAGCCTGCTATTTTTCCTACTGAAGTGCAAGAAGTTTTAATAAATCTTTAGAAGCAGCTAATGACAGAAATGGTAAGAGTGATGATAGAGATCCTGTTCATTACACAGAGTTTTGTCCTGAAACATAATGAGCCACTAATGAGCTTTCCTGAAAAATTAAGTGTCCTCAACTCTACAGAAGTAAGATGAGGAAGACACTGTAAAGGTCTTGATGATGTAAGTTGATGATATAAACTGTCAAACATCTCCAGGAAGGGATTGTTAATTTTGAGACTTCTATAAATTCAGCTATAAAAAATGCCCACAAAGAGCAAAAGATGTCATAGTCAACTGAGAGCATGAAATTCACTGACAGAATTAAGAATATCTACTGATCACATGCAGAGCCACTCTGGAAACACACCTAAAAGCCCACACCTCCTTCACATTATTCTCCCAGTGACTCACTAGAAACAGACAAACTGGCAGCTTAATTCTTGGTGTCCAGGTAGGAAAAATAATTTAAATGGTCATCTTTTAAATAACAGGAGGGACATTAAAAGGCTATATACATACCCAAAATGAACAGAAGTGATGGAGATGCAGATAGCTGTGCAGAATACTTTAGATTTTTTAAAAATAAACAAGAAAGGAAGCATTGGGAATTGAATTCCCAGACTCATCAACTTTGTAGCAGGACTGTCAACACTCCACCTTTTACTGCTTTCACCCTGTTACCACTGAGCACAAATACTGGCCCTTCAGCTAAGCACAGGCATCACAACAACATGCTATTCTGCATGTCCTTTGGGTTAAAGGGCTTTTTCTCCTTTTCTACTGTTCTGTTTCTACTCTTCTACTGAGCCCTTCTGGGGCTCACCTCTAAAGCTCTTTTCCTTTCAGCCTAGATCACAGCTTCTAAATTCTCTTTCCAAAATGACTAATAAAAGGGACAGGGTGAGGGGTCGACTGAAGCACTGCCACAGTGCCAAAGCCCAAATGCTGATATTCATTTCTGTATAAATCTTACATTTCAGTCACTCACTTGAGTTTCTTGAAGGCCTCCCTGCCACCAGCCACGTACTGCTCCCCACTCTGGAGCTCCTCCAGCTGCCGGACACGATGCCCGCCCCGGGGAGTGTAGATGTTTCGCACAGCTCCAAAGGGCGCCTGCACCCCGCCCGTCACCTCTTTAAGGAACACATCAAAGTTGGACACTTTCTTCTCGTGGATGACAATGCGGCGCCCCGGGAAGAAAGGGTCCCCGTTGCGATACACCAGCACGCTCTTCACGTTCGGCTGCGAGAGCCACGACGCCTTAGTGCCAGGACTAGTCATGCCGGTGTCCCCGCGCGTCCTGCGCAGCCCCGGCCGCGCCGCCTGCACCTGTTTGCTCGGGGGAGGCTCCTGCCCGGGAACCCCTCTGGCCCTGACACCGCCCAGGCCGGGCACATGCCGGGCACACCTCCCGGGGAGCGATGCCGGCTCTGTGCAGCCCGTACACAGCGGCTCCTCCCAGGCAACCAGCGCGCC